TGAAATGGGTGAAGGGGGTCAAAAGGTACAAACTTCCTTTTAAAAAACAGTAAGTCATGGGAATGTAATATATAGCATGGTGACTATAGTTTAGTAATACCATAGTGTATATTTGGAAGTTGATAAGAGTATACATCCTAAAAGTTTTCATGAAAAAAAAAATGTATGTATTGTGACAGACATTAACTAGACTTACTGTGGTGATCATTTTGCAATATATACAAATTTTGTATCATTTTGTACACCTGAAACTAATATAATGTTATATGTCAATTAAGCCTCAAAAAGTAAATAAGTAAGGTCTGGGAAAAACAGTCCTTTGTACTGGATGTACACTGTAGATGATTAAACCATATGATAACAAATTTAAAATTTTTTAAAAAGCGCTTGAAGAAAAATATACAAAAACTATTTTTTTTTGTTTTTAAAGATAAGTATATTATTACAGGTAAGAAGTCAACTAGTTATTTTTGGTTCCTTGTAAGTTTGGAGACCTTAAAGTTACTCTTTGAATGCCATTTGTTATACATCCTGGAACTGAACTCTCTGTTAGGTAGTTTAGATAGAAATGAGCACGGGGCAGGGAGTGAGGAAGGGGAAAGGAACAATTCAGAACACAAGGAAACTGAGCTGTCAATCAACCAGAGCATAGGGAACCTGAGTTGTCAATCAATCAATCATTCATTGGGAACCTGAGTTGTCAATCAATCAATCACCAAACCAGGATATAAAAAGAGGAAAATCAGGGAATGGTGCCATTTTTCCTCTCTTGGATTGGCCCGCTCCCAATTCTCGAGAGTGGACTATCTTTCATTATTTTTTTACTTCACTAATAAAAATCTTGCTTATATTATGCTTTTTGTCTCTCATCAAAAATTCTTTTTTTTCGGGTGTCTAAGAACTGAGGTAATTCTTATTTCCCTTTTCCAGTAACATTAATCTTGGTGCCATGACTTAGATTGCGTGCTTAAACCTAATCTTTCCTCCTTCATTTCTCTCTCCCTCCCCAAGGCCAGCCAGCACAGCATAAGCTCCTGGGGCCGGTTGTGGCAGATGGACTGAGAATACAAGACATGGTAGGGTGACCAGCCACTGACTAAAGTAAAAGAGATCATTCCAATCAGACCACGGAGAAACCCAGCACACGGTAAGACTGTGGCCGTTTCCCCTTTTCTGGAGAGGTGGCTGAGACGTCAGCTTCCATTCCCAAATCAGGACCCTAGGACGCTAGGCGTTGCTGATTCATGGCTACCCTCTAGGAAGCATTTGGTTGTGGACAGAGGCTGAAACGTCAGCCTAGTCCATGGGCTTTTCACCTTAGGATGCTAAGCTCTGAAAACCACCTGGTATCCTACCCTTGTTTCAGATGGGAAACCAAAAGTCTATCCCTGCTGGGACTCCTTTGGGCTACATGTTGGCCAACTGGGACTGTTTTAATCTACAAACTCTCCAAAGAAAAACACATATATTCCTTAAAATTGAGTTGCTGGAGTTCTAGCACAAGTTCTCCTCTCCTGCTGCCTTCCCCATTCAGGAGTTTCCATATGGACCCTCCAACTGTAACACACTCCTCTATTTTTGTTCCCCCTTTCTCTGGCTATCCCAGTTGAGCAGCTCTCCTGCTCCTGGATCACCGACCACCTGCGGGGTTAAAACTGACTATTTTCTTGGACTGCGGAGACTCCTAGCTCATGGTAAGACTGTGGCCGCTTTCCCCATCCAGAGAAGAGGCCGGGACGCCAGGTCCTCCTTCTGCAGGCCAATGACCCTGGGATGTCAGGCTCTCTTCGGTCCATGGCTTCACGTACTCTTGGCTACAGGCAGAAGACTGAGACATCAGACTATAGCTTGCGGGCTTCACCTCAAGACGCTGAGCTCTGAAGACCCTCCTTCCCCCAGTATCCTGCCCTTCAGATGGAAAGCCAACAGTTGATCCCTGCTGGGACTCCCCTGGGTTACATCTTAGCCAAAAGCATGGCCCATAAATAGGAGCAAAAATTCAAACACCTTGCTCCAGCTTAATCTCTTCTACAATACACAAGGTAAATGGTCTAAAATACCATATATCCAGATCTTTTATTTGCTGAGGGACAGCAATGATCTCCTAAAGAAATGCAAAATAACCACCTTGGCTGTGGTTACTATCAGCAATCTGCTGTCCCCAACACCTCCTTGAGAGGGGGACTCCCTTAAACGTATGTCCTCCCCTGCTCTCCCTACCATTTAAAGGATAAATTTCTTACCCAATCTGCCCCTGATATTAGACAAAAACTCCAAAAGGCAATCCAGGAACCCAGAGTAACTCTTGATAAATGCTAACCATTGCTGCCACAAGTTTTTGTTTAATTGAGATCAGGTACAAGAAGTCAAGGCTCAGGAGAAGGAAAGAAGAGGCAAGGCATGCCCGAATAATTACTGCCCTTCCAAGGGCAGCCACCATCCCTAAATCCTTAGCCCCCAGCATCCTGAGACAAGCCTGATGATAAATACAGTATCTTCCGCTGACCTGGTCAATGAGCCAAGAAATGTCCCCATAAGGACAAACCTCCAAAACCTGCCTACTTTTGGTGTAACAAGCAAGGTAATTGGGTGGCCCTCTGTCCCTCGAGCCAAACAGCCCATTGGGGAGCACTGGCCTGTGACCTGCAGATGGTTGTCTGGGACTAAAGAAGCCCCCTCCAGCCAGCCCCAACACAAGAGATCTTCATCATTGGGCTGGAGCTACCAGGACAAATGGATGTGGCAAGTAGGACAATAACTTTCCTTTTGGATACTGGAGTCACCTACTCTGTCCTAACTTCCTTCTCTGGATCTATCTCTAGATCCTACAACACACCTATCCTTCTGGTCATTAAGAAGGATGGGGCCTATAGACAAGTCCAAAATTTAAAAATCATAATCGAGGCTGTAGTGCCTCTTCATCCAGTGGTTCCAAACCCCTATGTATTACTAATAACAAACCTCCAGGAACCCAGTGGTACCCACTACCTTAGACCTAAAAGATGCTTTCTCCTGTATACCCCTTAGTCCCCAGTCCCAATATTGATTTACCTTTCAGTGGAACTCACCCAGTGGGTACCAATGTCAGTTAACCTGGACAGTACTACCACAGGAATTTAAAGATAGTCCTCACCTCTTTGGGCAATACTTGGCCCAAGATTTACAGGACTTACAGCTTAAAAAAGGAACTCTTCTCCAATATGTAGATGACCTACTTATCTCCTCCCTTACTCGAAAACATGCCATCCAACGTGCAATCCAAACTCTTAACTTCTTGGCCAAGAAGGGATATAAAATTTCCAGGTCCAAAGCCAAAATGGTCAAACAAGAGGTAACTTAGCTAGGAGCTGTTCTGACTCCTGGAAACCATAGCCTTTCCCCTGAACGAATTCAGGGAATCTTACAGCTCCCTAATCCCACTACTCGAAAACAGCTCAGGGCATTTCTCGGATTAACAGGTTACTGTAGGCTTTGGATCCCTAACTAGCCCAACCTCTACATGACAGCTTAAAGGATAAGGATGACTCAGTACCTCTGCAGTGGGGTCCTTTTCAACAGGAAGCAATGGAAGAACTAAAAAATCTCCTAGTAAGATCCCCGACCTTGGGGCTTCCAGATCCCACAACGCCATTCCAGTTATATGTTCATGAGAGAGGAGGAATAGCCTTGGGGTCCTCACCCAACGGCTGGGTCCTACCCAACAGCCCATGGGATACTTCTCCAAGCGGCTAGATCACACTGCTCGAGGCTGGCCTTTCTGCCTAAGAGTGTTGGGAGCCCTCTCCACTCCATTTAAGTAGGTATGACCCTTGTTTGCCCCCTTCATCCCTTTGCTAGGATTAGCTCTATGTATTAGACCTCTAACTTTTCAACCTTCTTATAAAATGTGTTTCTTTTTGTCTACAGGCAAACTTCAAATGGCTATACAAGAAGGTAATCAACCAATCACCCAAGACAGCTTTTATACAAGCCCCTTGATGGACAATGACCCTTCGCTCACCACCTGCCCAGTGACAGCCAGCTAGTCTGGGACTCCAGCAAGCTCCATTGTTGCCCCAGATCAGCAGGAAGTAGCTTAAGTGGTCGTCGCCCTCTACTTCCCAAAGACTGGGGGTCCTATGACTAGACAGGAGAATGTTAGGTAGTTTAGACAGAAATGAGTACTGGGCAGGGGGAGAGGAAGGGGAAAGGAACAATCCAGAACACAAGGTGCCTGAGCTGTCAATTAACCAGAGCACAAGGAACCTAAGCTGTCAGTGAACCAGAGTGCAGGAAACCTGAGTTGTCAATCAATCAATCACGAAACCAGGATATAAAAACAGGAAAAACCAGGGAATGGTGCCATTTTTTCTCTCTTGGATTGGCCCACTCCCAGTTCTCGGGAGTGGACTATCTTTCATCATTTTTTTACTTCACTAATGAAAAGCTTGCTTATATCACGCTTTTTGTCTCTCATCAAGAATTCTTTTTTTTCGAGTGACTAAGAACTGAGGTAATTCTTATTTTCCTTTTCCAGTAACACCTCCATTTAGCAAATTAGGTAAATCTGGAGGACTCCAATTTACCAAACGCAATACCTGATGGCAGAGTTTGCCAACAACTTATATGATATTACAGTGAAATAGAAACTTTAACAGATACTTTTTTCTTTCCCTTTTTGGACTTGAACAAATTAGTCCTAAAGCTACTTGAATCCGCCCAAATTTTAACTACATCCGACTTGTTCAATTCAGGCTTTAGGTTAGAATTTACCCTTACTCTTAAGCAAAGAACAGGAAAATGGACTTTCCAGCCTAAAGAAATGGCATCAGTAAATTTAGTTCTTAATAAACACCTGCTGATTTGGAGATGGTAGTTTGCCCCTACTGGAACTATGCGTTGTGTAAACTGGTCTTAAACGTGCGTGTGTGTATATGTGCATGTGTGTGTATGAAAATACACGAGCCTGAACGGAGGAGAAAGAAAAAGGGAGGAAGGGGGCCTCCTACAGCTCTACGCACCTGTTTCAGTGAGCTGGGGTCGCAAGAGCGGAGTCACCGAAACACAGG